GTTTTATTATAATGAACACTACATAAATAAATTTTATTTCAATTATTATCATTTAATCTTGTAAAAACAAAAAATAAGATGAAATAATTTAAAAAAATTATCTTCCATTTATGTCCATTAGTAAAATATTTCATTGAAACCCTTATCTCTAATATTAAAATTTATTGATATTTCTAACAATTGCAACCGAAAGATAAATGATCATGACAATGCTCAGAATTTTTTTTCATAGTGTGAGAAGATGGAGTTGGGAAGAGAAAAGTTTCATGGTATTTAGTTTGCAGTACAAAATATATGAATTTGACTGATGCTAACGGAAATTGCAATTTTTAAGAAAGAAGGGAATAAGATTAAGAAATGGTGAGCAGAGGGAAAACCTCAATGTTGGAGGGAGAGGAGGAGGAGCAGGTGAAGCAGGTGCGGGAGGTAGAGGAGGGGCAGGGCTCAAAATTCTGGAAGCTGGCGTCGAAGAGAAAGGGTGTCGTTCATGCTTCACAGGAGTGCGACACGGAGACTCATCTCCTCCAAATATATCGTCGTAGAAGTTATCGTTTGTGTGCCGCCTTCTATTCAAATTATCTTCCCCAAACACAGGTTTCTCGCCAACACAAGGCCAGGCGCAACAAACACCATCCTCCTCCATTCGCGATGCGCTGAAATCCGGCGATTCGCCGATACCGTAACGCATCTCCTGAATTGACGACCGCCTCGGCGGGCCCCCGAACACATCGTGGAAATCAACGTCCGAGTTTCGGAGCGGCGTGCTCGGATTCGTGGACGGCCTTTGATGATTGTAGCCCAAGAGGATGCTCTCGCTTTGAGAAAATCTCTCCATCTTTCCACCAGCAAACGGCAGTTCCCAGTAGAACAAGTGGTTGACGAATCCTCGCGGAGCTATTTGAAATTGGCAGGGAATGTAGGAATTGGGATCAGCAAGTTTCGAAGCGGAAGGTCAGACAAGGAAGGCAGCGAAGCGGGCAGAAAAGGGTGGGGGCGAACTTAAGTGGGGGGAAGAGATTTCGAATTGTGAAGCCACAAAATCTGGCAGACTCCGGATAAGATGACGAGGAAAATTCCAATTCATGCTAGTGACTCTGATGCGCGCCTGCCAGTACTAAGGGTGTGTTTGGATGAACCAAACCGTGGTTTGGAAAAGTGATTCTGGAGAATAGATCTGGAGAGAATAGATTCTGTGAAGAATAGATTTTGTAAAAAAGTGATTCTGAGAAGTGAGAGTGTTTGGATAGTTGTTATCAGAAGCACTTTTTATATATACAAATTACTAAAAAAAAGACATAATTAATATGATAATTACAGAAAAAATAGATTTTATGATATATTTTAATTTGAAGGAATAAAATTGTTAATATATGTTTTTTACCAACATATTAATAATACATAAGATAATATAATTAATAAATAATTAATGTGTATATATATTTATAAAATATAATATAATATATTTATAAAAAAATAACAAGATACATATCATATAGGCCCTCACACTCTCCCTTCTTTCTCCAAAAGCAAAAAAATTTGCTTTTTCCAAAACCATGGTTTTGGAGTCAAAACCATGGTTTTGACCCAAAACCATGGTTTTGGATTTTGGAGGGGGTGTTTGGGTAGATTATTCCCCAAACCATGGTTTGGGTCCCCAAACCATGGTTTGGGGTGTCACCCAAACACACCCTAAATGGTGTTCGTTTGCTCATTAACTGTCACGCCAAATACTTGTGATGCTAATTGAATGCCCTGTCTCGGTCCTGAACAAAGGAATAATATTAAATAAATTGGATATCTTCATTTAAGCACCCACAAAAAAACTCAAGAGTTTTGTCGTGATTTTAAATATAAGAAAAATGGAGACTCTATTGAAATTATTAATCCCAAATCAAATTTGACTCCAACGCTATAATAAATTTTGATAACACTGAACTTACAAATAACAAGATATTTTTATAGGAATTTATTATTTGAGATTTAGTTATTTTATTTTATTTTGGGATTCTCCCATATAAAAATCAATTTTATGCTTTGTTATATTAACCGTTTCTTTATAACATTTTATATTTGTGTACAATAAATCCAAATTAGCGAATGACGATAAATTTTCTACATCAGAATTATAAATGATTAACTGGCATACTTTGTCGAATCATATAAATAAATTAAAATAACCTTGGGCAATTTGACACGCATCGTTTTTCAAATGTTTTGAATTTTATTTACTATGGTTTCATACACAAGTTAACACATTTTTCAGCACAACCCTAAAATATACATTATGATATGAAATCAATTTGCTCTATACATCCTTTTTATAAGAATTTTCGTTCATAACTTCATGGTTCATAATTTATTCACAGCTCACGGAATCACTTCTCTGGCACCACAACGGATAGCACTGTTATGGAAGAAAATTGCAAGGCGGGGAGGGAGCAAGATGGCTTCGGACAAGGAGGGGGCCTCAGCCGCATGGTCGTGGCGATGATGGGCGGACGTGGTCTTGGCGGCTATGGATTAAATAGCTTAGAGCACAAATGATTTTCGCATATTCTAACATTTGTGTCTTTTGAATTTAATCTTGTGTTCTTCTCTATGTAAACATGAAGCCACTTACCATTTCATCTTTTTTTTTTTCCTTTTTTTTTTAAATTTTATCTTAATATAAAGGTACAAGAATGAAGCCACTCATCACGTCAATCAACCGCTAGTGGGTTAGATATTAATCTCTCCGTCCCTTTTTTATAAGAGTCTTGAATTCTATTATGTAGATCAAAAAAATTAGTTAAAAACAAGAAATAAGTAGAATTTTAAATCTCTTCTCCAAAATATTTTTATTTATGAAAGAACAAGTATAGGAAAGAGAGTAAGAAAATGTTTATAAAAAAAAAGAGAGTAAGAAAATTATTAAAGAGAATTATGACTGAGAGTGAATGTAAATGGAGAGAGATAATAATTTAAAAAATGAGATAATAAATATACTAGGCATTAAAATAGTAATTAATGGGGGCAAATAAGAAATTTGTTATAAAAATTTAAAAAAACTTACACATATACTTATATTTAGAAACAACAAGTAGAAATAGTTGTTGTTTATTAAAAAAAAAAAACGACAGCAGAAGTAGCATTTATCTAAGGAATGATAGACTTCCGCTCGATTTAACTCCCGCGGGTTAAGAGCTGTAGCTTTGTTGACCAAAAAATACCGCAATGTCTTTTTTCCTGAGACTGCCTCCTACGATTTATTGGGTCCAGCTTCTTGCAGCCCAATTCAGGCCTCCCCATTCGGCATTGTGGACCCGATCCAAGACTTTTATTATTATCGCAGTTTGTTTGTGTTTTAGTTTTGATTTATTTTGTCAATCAAAGCCCAAAGAGCACACAAGCGTTTGATTTATCAGCCGCATGTGGAAATTTTGACCCTCGGTATGGAGACCGTCGAGCAAAGCTTACAATAGCAATATCAATCAGGCAGTGAAAACAATGAGAGAGGCGTACCTGCCCCCTCATTAATTACATTAAATTTACGTGTTTGGTGGTCTGATCTAACGGATGCAAGCTGGACCCACATAACAAGGTCACTCCAAAATACTACGACTTCTGCACATTTGACTACCGTCAACAAGGACCATCTTCCTATTCTTGTACCCTTCGTCTCATTCAATGCACCGACAGGGAATGCAATTCCACGCTCGTTATTTATTTCGATCTATGTAGTATTGGAGATGTTTGAATATATACCATACTTATTGTATAAGTTACCTTGTAAATTATTTTCATATAAAAAACATATTAAATTGATAAAAAAAATTTTGATATTTTTTCTTACCGAAACTTTTCCTTCTATCTCTATGGGTCCGTTTGGATCAGCGATTGAAAAAGCTTATTGAAAAAGTAGCTTATAGAGAAGTGAAATTGGATAAAAGCTAAATTGAATAAGCTGAATTGTGTTTGGATTATAGTTCAGAAAAGCTAGATTGCAAAAGTGAGATTGGTAAAAGGTTGTTTGAATTATGATTAAGTAAAAGTAAGTTTGGTTGTAAAATGACCAAAATAGATATGAGTTTTAATAAATAATGAAACATAATTAAAAAAATAATTTCACATAATACAATGAAATTAAAATAATTTAATATGAAGAAGTCATAAAAAATATTTTAAATATAAAGTGAAACATGAAAAAATAAAAGTATATTTTTAGGAGCATATTTAAAAATAAAAATATATTTATAACTTATTCATTACTTTCAACTAATTTTAACTGATTTTTTATTATCTACAAATTAGTTATTTAAGGCTTATAATAAGAACCAAAAGAGGTAATAAATTTCTTAACTTTTTCTCTCTCCATATTTCAAAAGCTATAAGCCACAAGCTATAAATCATAAGCTGTTAATTTTAGCTTATAGCTTATTGTAGCTTTTTAGACAAAAGCCCGATTGCAGAAAAGCTGATCCAAACAGATCCAATTTTGTCAATCCAGCTTATAGAGCTTATAAGCTACTTATAAGCTTAAAATAAGTGATGCCAAACAGGCACTATATTTACAAATTAATCTCACCTCTCTTTGTTCTCAATAAAAATTAACACTGTTGGTGCGCGCATGTATACACACGCGCGTAAATAATACTCTCTCTGTTCCTTATTATAAGAACGAATAACTGAATTACGTTGATAAAAAAACAGTTAAAATTAGTTAAGAACAATCAATGTATAAAAAGTATAATTTTTTCCCGAAAAATACCCTCATTAATAAAGAGAGAAAGCATGAGAGAGAACAATTAAATTATTAAAAGAAAAAGAAGTGAGAGAGAGAAAGAGTGAGAGTTAGAGAAAAAATAAATATGAGTAAAGTAGAAAATAAACACAAAAATATATAAACAACTTTTAAATGTTTCTTATGTATAGAAATATACTATAAGCATCAAATGTTTCTTATAATAAGAAACGGAGGGAGTAACTGCAATAATCCCGCTGCACAAAAGCTTCCTACCGTATGGCCAAGAAAGGGTTTGCTACAATGCAGCAGATTTCGCCAATAGCACCAATTATACGAGTTTCTGTACATCCCCTAGTCATAATATTAATCTCACCTTCTACAGTTTTCATTGATCCTTGATCTTCCTTACAGATAAAGGGCGGCTACACGAATACAAAAGACAAAAGGAAAAAACTATATAAAAACAAAAAAGCACCATTTGTAGAGTGCCTCCTGCCTGTAACATAACCCAACCCCTTTATGACTGGCTAGTAAACGAGAATGAGAGGAAAAAAACCATCCTCCTAGTCTTCAGCCGAAGCATTCCTCCCTCCCGTCGACGAATCTGCAACATCAAATCTACCACCAAAAGAGGTAAGCAAGGCAGAAAGACCGCCCCTGCTGCTGGCCCCGCCACCAGCACCACCTATGCTTAGACCAAGAAGATCTCGAGTCATCGGCTGTCCCCCGAACGGCGACGACGACGAGCCCATCATCAAGTCGGCAAAACCCGTATTGCCAGCAGAAGGAATTCCAAGGACCAGGCCATCATCAGTTAATGAGTGATTCTCTGTCTTTACACGGCTATTCCATTGCGTCGAGGTACCATCGTTTTGTGCCAAGGAAGTTGCTGTTGCTAATCCTAAACCTCGAAGCAAAGATGCATTGGACGCAGCGGCACCCATTTGAGCTGCCTTTTGGAGTAATGCGGTGGCGGACAGTGCAGGCTGAGGAGGTGCAGTATAGTGGCGAGGGTCGTGTTGGTCCGGGAACAAGGATGAGTCATTATTGGAGAGATAAAGCGAAGTGGAGAGAGACAGAGATGTGGGCTCTATTGCAGACAGCGTTGGGGTAGTAGTCGGGCAATCCGAGCGAGCCATGCTTGACATCATACTGGAATACGATGAAGATGTCTGAGAAGGAGCAGGATTTGAGGATGCAAATATGCTGGCGAAAACACTGGTCGAGCTGGAGGGAGCACTGTTTGTGACTGTGGGTGCTGGTAAACACGTTACGTTCGAGGACGGTGGTGACAACCTGATTGGGTTTTCCGAGACTTCTGATACAAATGGAAAGAAAATGGACAGAAACACAAAGAACTCATGAGAAACAATGGAAAGCTCACAAATTACAAAGCTATATAGACAAACTAAAAAGAGAATTATGATCACTCATGAAACATTGAGTAAAAAGCTTTTTCTGTTTTTTAGAGACTTGGGCTAATAAATCATTAGATCTTTACCGGCACTAGCTTGAACGCGGATGAATAAATAGCAAAAGGAGACGCAATAATAGCCTCCTTTCCGTTATTCTCTATTTGCTCTTCGATCTATATGAGCTCCCTTCACTAACCCTCAGAACCCATTTATATAATACCCGCACGACTTTGTCTCTCTCATCTCCGGAGAACAAACAAACATCATACTGACTGGTTACTATAACTGATTTTGTTACTTTGTTAATTGTGACTGCTCGATTGTCTACTTCTCTAGACCAGAATAAAAACAAATTAATAATAAAAGAAAGCTAAAACGACATCCGTGAGAGACAAAACACATCCTTCAAATCATGTCTGACTCTTGCGTCTCAGCCCATTAAATTTAAATTCTTTCGTTTGAATCTCACGAAGCTGCTTTAAAAAAACTAAATGGTAAAGTGTACAGCTTTGACCCCCCAAGTATAAATGCGTATTTACTACCTGAGCTCTGAATGGACATAGCAGGAGACACCACAGACGTTGACGGGGTCAGTGGAGGCTGCGGCGGCGAAGCCATAGCAACCTTCCCATTCGAATTCCCCTCGGAGCCTTCTCCAATGGTTAGGGTTCGGGTTCTGGCGCTTTCTTCCGCCAACGCATCGCAAAAGGCCCTGTGCGTGATGAAGCTATCCCTCCTTCACAGTTCCACGTAACAACCACGAAGTAAATAATTACAATTAGAACCTCCATCAGCTTTAGAATGAACCGATGGGATGAAAAAGATTATTCCCTCGGCACAAAAACATGAAGCTAGAATATCAAAAGAACTAGGGGAAAGAGAGAAGAAAGAAACCTAGAGAATAAGGTGCCACAGTCACATTTGTACTCTTTAGTTCCACAAGTCTTCATATGGGCCTTCCAATCGGACTGTACGGCGTATTTCTTGGAGCATCGCTCACATTTCCACTTCTTTTCGCCGTGTTTCCTACAAAAATGCTTCTTGATGCCGGTGAGATCACCGAGCGCCCTCGACGGATTATGATGGACACAAGAAGGCTCGGGGCACACGTAGACTCTCTTACGAACATCCTTGGTGGTTCGCTGCCGCAGTTTCCATGGCAGGTTGTGGCCACGTCGATGAAGTTGCAGGTTTTGGTCCCGTTGAAATCCTTTATTGCAGATCTCACATACGAAACGGTTCGTCGCCAACAGTGTTTTGGGCGATAAAGCAATCACCTCGGCATCTGGATCTGGAAAGACAAATGCGAAATAACTACAAAAATCAGCAGAAGTTTAGAAGTCATAAATATTACTTAAGACAATTCAATCAACACCGAAACCTCCAACTATGAATAATGTTCTAGGTACCCGGCATTCCAGGGAGGTTCCGCTTCTTTTTCGGGGGAGGGAGTTCATCAGTCGCGTTCTGAAGTCCAGGTGACGAAAAGCTAGCTTCTCCGGAAGCTGCAGAAACTGCCATTGACGATGGATTCTCAAGCTCCGCCATGGCATGTATCACAATCAAAACTCTGAATCGTCCAGCTGCTCAATCAATTCAATGATAATCACATGCTTCCTCTTTCTCAGGCTGACAACTTGTCAACTGGACGCTTGCCTATTCTTTGAAGCGCGACGATCACCTAATCTTTAACCACTAGCAGAACTAATTAACTGAGATTCTGAGAATACAAAAGTACAACATAAAAAATAATTACCCCTTTGGCTAAGACAAGTCCCGATTGCTTCAAAAGAATATTAGATATTTAGGAGAAATCTATTCGGCTCCCCCGGTGGGAGAAGTTCCTCCTCCTTCAATACCGAGGGCGATTAACAACACAGCCAAGCCACAACAGGTCGACGCACGACAGTCGCATACGGCGGCGGGATGATGGAGAGAGGGAAAGAGAAGGAGGGACTTCGAATGGGCAACAAAAGTATTAAAAAATGGCGAAAGCGGCGCCAGTTAACCATGGTTTAGTCTCGAACCCTTCCCATTTTTAACTATAGTCAAAGACAACCCAGGCTCCGAGTCTCATCTCGCGGCTACTAGCGCAAATCTCACCGTCCACGTGTCTTCATAACCGGGTCGATGACCTTTGTCGGGAGGAAGTCGGACTAGGCGGTGCTTGTCGTCTAGTGTTAAGAAAAAGGTGATATAGGCATTTCCCTTTCAGTTCCGCCCGTTTAGTATTTTTAGTGTAAATTACATAATAAAATTCAAACCCTCATTTTTAATAGTACCCCAGGAGGTCCTTAAATTTTTAGGCACCATTGTTTCGAGAATGACGATTATGCCACGAAGCATATTACAAGTACGAGGAAGGCAGGAGCGAGGTCCATTGTCCAGTCCAAAGGCGGGTGGCTTTCTCGTGATTATGTTCAAATTTTTGTCCTCTAATGCTCTCCCACGGGGAATTAATACCTAGTAGAACCTCAGAAAACCGTTCTGAAAAATAAGAAGCGAAAAGAGAGGCAGGGAACGTGCAATGTACATCGAGGAGTGCAAGTAATAATGGAACAAACCATAACGCCGAGTATTGGAAACGAAAGTCATAGCTTGAGAATATTTTCAGATTGGACAGCGTGCCAAAAACGACGCACTTCACACCATAGCACTTGCAAAGTTGGAAAGGAAGAAGGAAAGAAGAAAGAAAAGGTTATGATATTCAGCGTTGCAGTTGGAGCTTCAAAAAAGGGTTGCGTGAGAAAATCTCAGTAGCATGTTTGGGATACTCAACCTTGATTGTATTATAATTAATTAGGGTTTACTTAAAAGGGTAAAAAGGCTATTGTCTTTATGGGTAAAGTGACATGATATGTATATCATATGCCCGAACTCCTTTATGTCGCAGAGTTCAAAGAATGTCATCATGAAGTTGATAAAGGGGCGAGGTCGTTTTTGTAATTGCAGAGGAAATGCATGTTATAATGAGGACCTCACTGGCAGCTACACCACACACTCACATATTTTCAGACTTTAATCAAATGATGATCCCGTGGAGGTGGGCCCACCAATGAGAGAAGTCCAACTTCTGACGTGGACGAGGCACAGTCATCTGGCACGCCCCGGTTGTTTTTTTTTTTTTTAATTCACGTTTGAGAAAAATATTTGAATCCATTAGACGGTAGTAATAATTAGTTAGGGCCCTCTCAGAACCTTTTTTTTTTTTTTTGACCAGAAGGGCCCTCTCAGAACTGAACAATATACTCAAAAAATAAGGGTGAGAAGTCTACAGATTAGCAATGAATTATAAAGATAACGCAAGGCACGTCAAATGATGCCTGGGCGTCATAGAGAGGTTATATTGGATACGGGCATACTGGGGGGGTTCGTATCTAGTGATTGGCACACAACCTTATCTTATTATACGCTAATCATGGATGATGTACCTGTTCAACACCGTCATATTCTGCTATTTCGTCCTCAAACAATCATCACTCTCATTTGCATTCCAATTCAAGCCCTACCTTCATTTTACGTCCTCGTACTTTTTATTTGGCTTTTCTATTTTCATTTCAATGTTTCTTTTGTCTCCTTGTGTTATATCTTGTAATAAAATTATAATTTTAAAAATAATTTTATAATATATAAAATAAGCATGTTAGAGTATTTTTTAAAAGCTTTTTTTTCCCAAAATCTTATTTAAATTTCTAAGCAGCTCCGGTTTATTCATTATCGTCATTGGCCTTGTCAATATTTTTAGACAATCATATTCAAAATATTAGCAGACATTAATATGAATACGTTTATTTAAACCGTAGTTTGTGCGCATCACATTATAAAAAATCCACTTATTCTGACAAACCCAATCCTAGCCTTGGTTGGTGCGAACAAATTTTTTTTTGTTTTTGGCCAGGCTTTTTGTATGCAATGTAATTGTTTCTGATTTCTGAACTGATTGGTAATGATTTTCGGCCAAAGCCCTCGTATTAGAGCTTTTTTTTTTGGGTCTTTGGCAGGTGCATTAAGTTATGATTATAAAAGAAATTGGTTTCCACCGTCGTCTCGCTCCAGGTCCTCAAGCATCAACAAGACAAAGAAAAATGCTAAACTAACATGACAAGGAAGAAAAAATAGAAACAAGACAAGGGCCAGAAACACTGATCTGAAAAGCTAAGAAAGCTGATCTAGGCAAATTAATTACGATGACTTTTAAATTCAGCAAAAGCCCGGAGTCGTTAAAAAACAGAAAGAAAAAAAAAAGGGCCTAATATTAATTTAAATAATCATGCAAAAAAGGGTGGCTGCGAATTACGATGTAAAAAGATTTAATGCCTGCAAAAGTGAATGAAACGACTCCGGGCTTTCGCTCAAAAGATGAAGTACTCGCTTTTTAACATTTTTAATCTACAAGCTGAGCAGAACAAGACAAGCAAAAACAATGAGCTTTGATCTTGGGCTCTTTCAGCGCAGATTTCAAAATTGACTGGAATCTTTTTTCTTTTCTTTTTTAATAATTTTTAAGATTTGAATTTATATTCTGTCTGATCAACAATATGTTGGGTTGACTGAAATTTTTTTTGTTACCGCACAGCAAGTTTTATTTGGATAACCAATCTCTTTTCTTACATCGGGTAAAAGTGAATTTAAGTTAATATTATTTTGTGAAACGTTTGTAATATTCTTACGTGCAGAAATATAAACCTTTGCATCTGAGTTTCCACACGTTCAAGGAGACATGCACTAAAGCTTTATGCGTCAGTTTTTAAATGTTTCATAAAATCCAATCCTACGAACGGAGAAATCAAAAGAAATTAATTTTGGATCGTACAATTAATTCAATCGACTGCAGGCTGAAGGACGGGAAGAGAAATATCGTTGCGTTCGACGCATAGTCCCAGTGGAGAGAGTTCATAAATTTGACACAGCGTATACTATGCAGAACATATGGAAATTGACGAGAGGAGCTTTTGAGAATAGGCTGGCTGAAAAGCAAAGAGGTAGGTGGCCAAGTGAGTAAAAATATATATAATGCAATAATCAAAGATTAAAAAAAAATGGAAAGAGGGGGATGATGGCGTGGGAGGGGCACTAGGTGAGATAGGCACTATGTAAACCGTGAAAGGGTACGATGGAAGAGACACAGCTGGAAGGGGTTGGGATGCATAATGTCAAAAAGGAAAAGGATTGAAATGTCACCCACTAATCATTCCTTGTTTGATTATCTTTATACTTTGTTTCTTCAACCCCTCCTTTTCTGATTCCGGTATGATGCCTCATCCCCACCTTATTCTCCCTGCTTCTCTCACTCTCTTTTTCACTTGCATGCCCCTTCTTTATTCCCCCTCTTTATTTCCTTCTACCAAGCTTTCACATCTAACATAGGAATTAGGTATGTAATTTGTAAATATTAAACAAAATAATTAAATTAATTATTTTAATTAATATGTATTGGTTTACCTAAAACATTTTATATAATTATATACTCCTTCAGTCCTTAATATAAATCTACCTAACTAATTTGATTAGATTAAGAAAATTAGGTAATTAGTTAATTATAAAAAATATGACACATTTTTTTTCAATACCATAATAATCTTTCTTAATACCTCCTCTTTCTCTTCTACTTGATTATGGTTGAGAAAGTATCTATAGGAGTAATTTAGAGAAAACTGATAAATATGAGAAATGGGTCTTATATTTAGGATCAAAACCAACTCAATAATTTGGTCCTATATTAAGGACTGAGAAGTACATTATAATTACTCATTGATAAAAACCATTTACTTTACGCAATCAACAGAAATATTTTGAGAGAAGAACAATAAATCCAGGAGATAAAATAAATTGAGTTATTATATTTATGAAATAATTTTTTTTTGTATATCTTCTTTGTTTAGGACATGCGGTAATATTTTTTGCATCCTTCCATTTTCATACTCATTAATTAGGATATATCCAAGGACTGTGAATTTATGATGGTGTGTGTGATGTAAAAATCAGAAAAGCAAAAATGTTATGGCCTGGAGGCTTGAATGCTTCTTCATAAGTTCACATGATCAATCTTACTTGTAATTTCATATGATCAGTAATGATGTCTTTTAATCTGAGAGGAAAAAAAGTTAAGTAAGAGATAGAGTGGGTGTCAGATGAAATTACAGAACATTAATAATGGAGGGGGAATAGTGGGTGGGGGATAATGGAGAGTGGAGGTTGGGAAGAGGCCACGGGGAGAATGGAACAGGGAGGGGGGCACTCCATGCTGTACGATCTCAACGCACAGCTCAATAGATCACTGTGCCCCCACATGCGAGGGTGTCGACTATTGTCCCATGGGATTTCAGTTTCACCCCCATTACTCATTCCCATTCCCACATATTCTTGTCACTTCCTTTCAAACATCTTTTCACACTGCTCTTGGACCGCAATGCCCCAAATCAAATCCTCCTGCTATTTTATTTGTAAGATACAATATCAACACCTTTGACATTTGGAGAGTAAATGGTAATGTTGCCATTTTCTTAACACACATAGGTATTAGAAATAATTTTATTCGAGACATTTTTAGATATTAATTAATTAAATATAATTATTTCTCTTAATAAGAATTTAAATTTTGATTTGTCGTATTCTGATGAACTAATCTTTCTGCTTAAACTCAGTTCCTATTGGTTAATTGTGCAATTAAATTGGTATGCCAATTGCAAATTGGGCTTGCACATTTCTTGGGCCAGGACTGCGAGGGGAACAAGATTAGCATGGTCATTTTCGTTGCTTCAAATTAAATGTCATGTCAACTCCTAGCAAAAAAAAAAAGAAAGTCAAATCAACTTTGTTTTGTCTTCAATTTTACAATGCTTTTTATTTGATCATAAAAGTCTATCCTGCTATATCAGTCTGTCACCGATAAGTATGGATAACTAAATTTTTTTTTTTGAGTAAAACTAAACAAATTTTTCATACACTACACAAGGT